TTTTTTTTTTTTTCCAGGAAGAAGAGTCTTTCAACTTGCAAATAATGTGCTAGAAACAGACTTCCTCCTTACTTTTTTTGGCTTTTTATGTCTTGGGTGGAGACAGTTAACAAAGCTATGTGGTTCCTGAACAGGCAACGAATAAAATAATTGCCAGGGATTTTTGTAATCAAACTCGACATTCATTAGTTACGTAATTTCACCTAGCCTTTGTTCATTTATATGTTCATAAGTATATGCTATGTATGTGGACTTATTTCTGCGTTTGGCTTTACTTCTGCTTCTGTCCAGGAACACAAGTGCTGAAATTTGAAAAGATAGACACTGTTGTCTGGTATTTCTGACCTCAGCAGACAGATTGAGTCCTGGGAATCAGCTAAAAGATCTATTTATTTTATTTTCAATAATTAAAACACTGAAAGACTTACAAAGACCAAACTAAACTACTGATTCCTTTGTTCACTACCCCTTCAGTGCTCAGATGCACTCAGGGACAGACAAGAAATCGTTGCATGGAGTAAAACAAAAAAGATACAATTTTAGCTACAATTTTATTTTATTTCAGTTACAAATTTACACTGTTGGAAAATGTAACACAGGAGACTGTAACAGAGAAAACTGTGTTTATTATAACCACCTATTTGTTAATTAAAGTAGTCCTACTTTTTTGTAAGTATGCACAGACAGATTTTCAGCTGTATGAATTTTTTGCTTCAGCTACATCTTAGGCAAGTCATCGTTCATGACTTACAGCATAAATTACACCAAATTGTTTTCTCTCCTTGGTTTAATTGATGGCAATAATTTTAAGACACTGCACATGCCTAAGCACAAATGAGACATAACTTTATTTCATGTAAAGCTGGTCAGAATATGAAGAGATGTGCACGCACTGATTGTGACTATTCACCTGTTCTTAGTTGAATATGTAAGGGCAATTAATGATGCTGAACATATTTTCTTTGTGAGGCAGTAAAGGCTTAAAACTGAAGATTTCCAGAGTTAGCTCAACCAATTGCAGGTGAAGTAGATACGAAGTACTTTAGCTAATAATTTTCATTAGATTTTCTGAACTGAAGTATCTAGAAGTATCTATTCCACTATCAAATGCAGCAAGGCTTGTAACTGGAAGTTCAGTACTCATCTACACAAAGCATCTGCATTTTACAGGTATTTCTAGTGAGGAAGATCAAAGGATCTGATGCGGGTCAGCTTTATGCCATGAAGGTACTTAAGAAGGCAACTCTGAAAGGTAAGGATTGGGACAGTGGCTGAAGTCTCTATTTCTGTGCTGTTTTGTCATTTACTTTTCTTGCCATTTTTTGCATTGCTGCTGTCTTACGGTATATAAGAATGCACAAATATGTCTCTGCCACCCTTCAAAATTCTACCTCTCTGTTATGAATGTTCTAAAAAAGGGTACACAAAAAACGTTATCTATGCAGTCTGGGAGCAGGAAAACAGAGCTTTGGACTTTTCCAGCTGCATACTTTCTTCACTTTCTTGGTGTTACCTATAGGACTTCTATTGGGCATATATTAAGTTGTGTCACAGGGGCAATATCTTTCTGTTACTGAAGTAAACTGAAGTAAGTATTTTTCAATAAGGATATTGCTGAAGTAAAACATGGCTCCTGCCGGGCAGAAAGGCCTTCCAGCTGATGCTTCTCACTATATGCCTGAAAATTCATGGGAGCATATTTTCAAGCACAAGGAGTCATTCTGAGGTTGACATCATGCTATTTCCTAGCTCCTGACCAGTCAGCACATGGTCTGTAGTAGGCTGGGTCCAAATGTCTGATGTTTAAAGCTGCTGGTCATCCTCTTCTGAAGCCACTGGCTGCTACACCCTCACTCAGACCAAAAAGAAATTCCTTGTGAAGTATAGGACGGAAGAGGAAACCGAGCAAGTTCATTTTCAGCTGAAGTCCTTACTGTTTGTTCCTCCAAAGAGTTAGGAAGATCCAATTGTCTTCTGGTTTCTCTGACCTATCCCTGTACTCTGTTTTTCCCCTCAAAAGCCTGACACTTTTTGCAGATAAGGTGGACAGCGTTCATTTTGCCCGGAGCAGCTCTTTCACTTATTCTTGGACAATGTGGGTTTGCACAATGCACTATAGTGCCTAAATTTCTATCCTAATGGCAAGAGAGGACATTTTTAGATAGTTCTGATGACTGAAAAATCCAAACTGCTTTAGCATGCCTCAATTTGATGAACCAAAAGAAGAATAAAGCTATCGGTAATCGTGAGTTAGAGTTACAGCGGGTGGTGGCAGGCAGATACAGCATCTCTTCTGAGTACTAGTCAAAATGGGGAAGTGGCAAAGCAGGTATTTATACAGACCTTTCCCCTCAGAAAGCCTCTTCAAAGAAATGTTAGTTTGAAATGATGCTGGCGTGCTGATCTTTTTGTTTGGAATGTAGATGGGAAAGTTTGCTCTAGCAGGACAGCATAGTGTAAATAACCACTTAAATAGTACTGGGTGTAATACATAAAAGTAAAAGGTCAGGCCTGTGTACACAATATGTATAATAGAGTGATTCTCTGACTACTTAACCAAGAGCAGGACTGTGAAGTGCTCGAACAGAGCTGAACTCAGCTCTGAGCCTTCCCCGCTGGGGAAAGCCATCTCCTGCCAGGCATGGTGTCTGAGGAAGGACTGTGACCCCTCTGATGTTAACACATACCAGAGACTTATTTCGGTTTCTTTTGACAACTCAGAACTTTTCACCCAAGGTGAAAATTTGGTATTCCCTCTTTTTCTCTATAACTCTGGGGTGTGTTGAGCAGAAAGAGATTTGGAGAGGGGGAGGGTTTCTTCTGCATCCCCAAACACATGATTGTTACTTAGTATTTGATAGCTAAATCTGTAATGTTAGATTCCACTGGGGAAAAATAATCTGTATTACGGCAGTATTTTAGGAAATATCAAAATTTAGATGGTGATTTTAAACTACCAAAAGTGTTCCATCAAATTTCTGTTCTGTCAAGAACATGCACTTCTATGTTTGCAGTTCTTTGGTTTATTACAGCAGAGTACCACCGCTTCTCTCTTCCCTTGGCCGTTAAAGCAGGCTATTTATTATTTGATAGGATTTTTTTTTTCAAGTGTGGGTTTTCTCAAGCGTGGGTCACAAGATCCAAAAGCTAAGGCTGCTTTGTGATTTTGCTGGATTGCATTTCTCTCTCAATCAGACTACTTACCCGAGTGACTGGTAGCTCTGGATTTCCTATTAATCTCAAAATAACTAGCACATCAGTAGGAACTAACTTGTCCACAGTGGTTTCTACAAATAAGTTGATAGCTATTTAACTCAAAGTACAAAAATGAAGGCAAAACCTCATTGGCACAGGGCAAGTGAGACGTGCAACAATGAGGATTGCTGTCAGTGAGCTTCCATGTGACTTTTGGCACAGAGATAATATTTCTGACAGCTTAATTTCATCTTTTAAGTGAGAGTGCTGAATTGTTGCTGCCTACCTACACTCAAAAAGACTGGAAGTCACTCCAAAGTGAAGTGTTTATTACCATGTCAAGTAATGGGAGCAAAGTCGTAAGTACTTGTTAGCACTGTGTTCAGTATTTACTGATAAAAGGTGTGCTACAAGACAAATTTCTGAATGGTTTTGCTTCCTAACCTGACTTCACAGTACAGCATGGAGCAGGAAAGTCAAAGCTCTTGGTCCCAGTGCTGCTGACATAGCCACACAGCCCTACATATCATAGGAGTTTTCTTTAGCAAAACAAATTTGCAAAACACATAGAACTGACAAATGAGAAAGAAAAGAGGAGGGGGATAGCAAAACCATTTTTTCTTTCCTGGATTAGTCTGAAGAATTAAAACCCAGATAAATGAGGATTTGGGGAAGTTAAATGTCTTCAGGAGTGTTGGGTTAAAACTAGCTTTGT